GGTAATCATCTGTACAACACTCAATATACTTTGGATTTCCCTCTGCCAGCTGTGTGACTGAGTCACAGCCCCCAGAGATCACCTTTACAATTTTGTTCAGACTTGTCTCTTGGTGTCATTGCATGTGGCACTTCTGCAGTCAGAGATGCTTTATTGCACTCTATTGATATATTCATTCATGAGCCAATCAATGGATTTTGGCAAGATGGAGTGACAGTTGAGCTTATGGTTGATGTTTCCAGCATGCATGTCCAACCCTAGCTCTATCTTGCTCTTTGACTGATTGCTCTCTGCATTCTTCAAGCCCATACCTTAGCACTTCTTCCAACACCTCTTTCAGCATCTGGGCTTATTTCTTGGAGAGTTTGACTCTCTTGAATGTGTTTGGCTGGGCTCTAGCTCTCTTTTTGATGTTCTTAAGGTACCTGCTGATGGTATCTTGGCAAGCATCAGCCAGCATCCTAGACTCATTGACTGTGTTAATGGTGGGCAGTGGTAGTGATGGACTTTGACTTTCTCCCTTGTTTGAATTCTTTGACAAGTCCAGTGGACAATGGTGCATTCAGACCTGATCAGAGTAAGTAATAGGGGTCAATTCTTTATTTGTAGCACTGAGTTGCCCTCCTTCTGCTTGTTCAGGATTATTTTCCCTGATGAAGGAAGTATATAAGATGTCAGACTGGAACTGAGACTGTTAGGAGGAAGATTTCTTGCTATAGGCATTTATATGAGAATAAGAGGTACTGGTTGAGGCTAAGCTGATGAACAAAGTTTGATTAGATAAACTAAGCAAAGTGTACACAGTTGTGACAAACTATATTGAGTGTCTCATTAGTGAAAGATCTTTGCTGACACTAGAGGATGTTTACCTAAAGGAAAGACATCATAGTGAAAGATCCTTAAAGGATCTAGTTCAGCAGATGTTGTGACTTGAAACCCTTTTCATTGATTGGTAGTTTTAACTTAACTAATAAGTAATGCTTAATAAGTATTTATTTTTTGACTACCAATTCTCCCTCACCTGATAATGGTATATCTTATCTGTCCCCATTTAGGCCAAATCAGACCTATGTCAGAATCCATCTGATCAGATCTTGGCACCTAATTAGGCTGACATCTGATCTGGTATAGCTTTCCTACTCAGGTCTGATAATCAGATCTGTTCTAAAGTAACCCTGATCACACCTGATGTATAGTTGTACACCAAGTTTTGTTTTACAGCCATTTGCAAAGGGATAGGCTGGATTCAAATTTTGATATTTTGTCCCAACCTTGATCTGTTCAGACAAACATTATGACAATAGCTTCTGGATAGGACAAGCAATTTAGCCTACTCTTTTCTTGCTACCTTCCACCCCCTTTGCACATAAAACATAGCTGCACCACTTGGTGCATATCATACTGGGTTGAAAGGACATATTGATTTTAAAAAGAATAAAAAGCACAGAGTTATTACATGTGTATTAATAACATGTATGGAACTACAGATGATCTGCTGACTCTGCCGCATGTCAAGTTGTACCACCAAGATTTATTTTGATTAACATCCGTGGTGTGCTGCAAGTCAACGTATGGTAAAGGGCCTGTCATTATTTGGATGTCTGGATCACGTTGCAAGAGCCCCCTCGGGCATTTCTGGATATCCAAGACGCCTGTTGAACTGAGACGAGATGGAAATGGACAGATTGGGTTTAGCCCCGAAAAGATGGAACAGCGGACCGCGGCGGAGAGTGCCATAAATAGAAGTTGGGGCTAGGGCTGAACTCGGAGGTCGGATCGAGTTTGGATGCGAAGAAAAGTTTAATTGAGGGGAAGAGAAAAAATCTGTTCGGAAAAGATTATGTGGGGCGGGCGTTCGATCGATGCCTCTCGTCGAGAGAAGAAGAAAAAAAAAAATACACCATCAAAAAGTGGCGCCATGAGAGTAAAGATCGATTACCCATTACAATGCACAGCCACCGGTCATGGATGGCGCTCTAAAAGAAAGGGACCGTTTAATCGGCGTTGTTGGAACGATGTCTGCTATCGGTACCCCGAACGGTATGTCCTATTCCCCCATTTCTATCCATCTTTTTGCTCTCGGGCTTGTTCGCCGGTGTGATCGGGGGTGATAGGTTATTTTTTGTGAGGAGTGGCGTGGCGAGTGACTGCGGTGCTTCTTGTCCGAACACGCCTCCATCTGTCTCACAAATGAGCTCGTCTCAGAGCCAGAATGCCAGCCCGCCGCCGTCCTCGGCCAATCAAGGTGCCGTCGTCCTCTGCCTCCTCTCTCACTTCTCCCCCTCTCCCAGACAAACTCTGACTGACCTTTGTTTGCAGAAACGACGCCGTCCAGCGCTGCGAGCTCAACCAGTCCCCAAGTGACGCCCTCCCAAATCCCCGCTACGATCTCTAGCTCGTCGTCCTCTCCTTCAACGTCGCCGTCCGAGAGCCCATCGACGAGCGCATCGCCGTCCCCGTCGACAAACGAGCCCTCGAGCACGTCCAACACCGCCTCGTCTGCCCCGCAAACATCCAATACCTCTCCTCCAGCCACATCTGCCCCGCCTTCAAGCAGCACAACATCCGCACCCCCATCAACTTCTGTCGTTTCAAGCACATCTGTGTACGTACGCCCCCCTGTCATAACTACCGTATACTGACATGTAATGCGTAGACTAACGTCTAATGGACAAGTGATAACCACCGTCATTATAAACACCACCACTATCGCCCCGGGCGCAGTCGTCACAAGCCCCGGGTCGCAGCACAACTCATCCACCAACGTCGGCGCCATCGTCGGCGGCGTAGTCGGCGGTACGCTTTCTTCCCTTCCCCCCCAATCCCAATTCCCAATTCTAACCTCCCCACCCACAGGCGTCGCAGCCCTCGCCCTACTAACGCTCCTAACGCTCCTCCTCCTCCGTCGACACAGGCGCAACCGCGAAAAATACCTCTTCGACGGCAACTTTGATCCTGCACACGTCGTTCCGCCTACTGCGCCGCGCATATCGGTGCCTGAGGACGACGATGCGGACGACGATGGGATGGGCGGGCGGCTGGGGAGTGGAGTTGGGGGCGTGGTTATGCCGTTTCAGTATGTACCTGAGACGGAGAGGGGGGCGGGACAGCCGGAGATGAGGGGCGTGGGTAGCGCGGTGTATGCGATGAATCAGGGCTCGGGCCGACATGCGTATACGCCCAGCATGAGCGCGTCTGATGAGCCTGGGTCCGCATCCGCATCGGCGTCGGGGTATCTACCGAACCCGTTCTCGAGCTCGGAGACCGCATATATGGGTCCTCAGTCTCAGGGTGCTGCTGTGTATCCCAATCTCAACGTCTACCCCGCAGCTGGGGCACAGCGAGCAACGAGCGTATCGAGCCACGGCGCATCTTCAACCTCGCACTCTCACTCGCGTTCTGGATCCGGTACAGGTACGGGTACGCGCAGCGCGAAAGAGCGCGAGGCGTTCGGACGCGGTGGCGCGATGGGGGTTGCGAATCCGGATTCTTCAGATGCTGCGGGGGTTGGAGGTAGTGCTGGGGCTGGGAGAGGGAGAGGGAGAGGAAGCCGCGCTGTGCCGATTGTGCATCGGGATGGGGGGAGGGTTGTTGAGGTACATGAGGAAGAGGAGGAGGAGGGGGAGGAGATTCCGCCTACGTATGAGAGTATTCCGAGGTGAGCGGCGGGCGTGAGCTTGGAATTTGGGATGTGCGGCCGGGCTTGCCATGCGCACCTTTTCTCTGTAATTTCTTTCTCAGTTGTACACATGCATCCCATCCGCATCTACATCTGTATATATACATTACACTTACATGCGTTTTTTCCTCCTGATATAGCCTTGAACGTCTAACATATCGTACTCGGGTATGGTGTAAAGGCTAACATTGCCGCCTCTCATTGGTCTGTGCGACTGATGTTAACGCGGCAGCTCGGGGTTCGATTCCCCGTACCCGAATATATAGTAGCAATTGTAACACTTTTTTCAAACGAAACAATGTTGCTGCCTCTCATTTCCTTATAGTCTGTTCAATGGTAAACCCGGCAGCTCGTACCCTCATGCATAAGTTCTTTTCAATCACATATATATACCGGCCTCTGTGGTTCTCAGCGATCCCCACATCACCCGACCTTGAACCTCGAGTTCCACACCATGGAACCACTTTACATGCATTCCGGGTATGGTGGAAAAGGCTACCATTTCCGCCTCTCATTAATCTCCTACGCCTGATATCACCGCGGCAGGATGGGGTTCTCTTCCCCGTACATATAAATGTTTACCCAGTGTGCTCCTTTTTCAAAGGATCGATACGCATCGCATGTAACTTCGTGTCCCCTAACGTACGCTGCACATCATCAAGTACTGTATCCCTCGTAGTTTAGGTATTCGGGTATGGTGTAACGGCTAACATTGCCGCCTCTCATTGTGGTCTATTTCATGAGGGCGCGGCAGCTCGGGGTTCGATTCCCCGTACCCGAATGAGCGGTCTGATCTCTAAACTCAGCCTCCTTTTTTCCAAAAGGCATCAATTGCGTCTGCGGCGATCTTTTCTAAAAAGTTACAAATCGCATGGAACGACTTGGTGTATTGTGGTATGTACATTTGGGAGTCGTTTCTTGTTGTAATGTACATTCGGGTATGGTGTAACGACTAACATTGCCGCCTCTCATTTCGTGCTGGTACTCGGATCATGTCAACGCGGCAGCTCGGGGTTCGATTCCCCGTACCCGAATGAGAGGTCTCTCGATTATATATAGCTCTTTTTCAAAGGGATCCATCCCTCTCTTAGTAGAGGTACATAGCATAGAAGCACTTTGTATGCTTCTCTGTACATTCGGGTATGGTGTAACGGCTAACATTGCCGCCTCTCATTTCATGCTGCGACTCGGCTCATGTTAACGCGGCAGCTCGGGGTTCGATTCCCCGTACCCGAATAATCTGGAGAGACTTTTCTTTTGAAGACCCCAAGTTGATTTCATGCTCGGGCACCTCTCACATGAATTGTTTTGTTCATTCTGTGCACATTTTGGTTTACACTTTTCATGAGCTTGTGTGCAGACCAGAAAGCGTTCGTGAGTAACGCCCTTGCGGATGTTTTGGCGTGAAACCGTTATAATTGTGAAAACTCGGATCGACGGGGGTCGTTTGAGATTTGGAACGTGGATTTCTGTATTGTGACGAGAACTTGGATTGATGTGGGCCTTAAGGCAAGGTATGATGAATAACGTATTCATATTGCGTGTAGATGTACGTTTCTCTTCTTGATGGAGACCAGATCCCGCATACATACCTTATTACACCACCAGCTAATTATTCAGGTATAGTTTAATTGCTAGCATTGTCGCCTCTCATGGGTCCTTAACCCCAGTGAGAACTGGATCCGGAGCTATCAGGTAGGTTCTGGAAGTAGCCGAAATTCAATGTCAATTTCTGAGCCGTGCTGAAATCCCGTGAAATCATAAGTTTACATCAGTTTGTCAGCTCACCCTTTGATCGATCCTCATGCTCGCTGTTGATCGCACCCGTGGCTCGAACTCTGCTTACTATCAACGCACTTGCCCATCCACGCACCCACACACTTGCCCATCAACGCACTTGTCCCTTGCCCATCAACGCATCAGCGCACTCGCTTATCAGCGCACCCGCCTATCAACAGAACCGCCTATCAACGCACTCGCCTATCAGCACATCTGCCTATCAGCGTAACTCGCTCATTCCACATACTTGCCCATTGATCGACTCATCGATCTATCAACACACTAGTCACATCCACGCAGACTTTGGAAAATCGACAGAATGTACTTGTCGACATTTCCTTTTCTCTCATGTACTACGATGGACAATCCCTTTGACTTCCATTACTGTTTCTTCTTCCTCTTCACAGTTCTATGATGAGCCCTTTAATAATGTTTCACAGCAACAAGGATTTCTCGTGAATAATTTTTACCAAGTTTTTTATTGACATCGCTAAGTTCTGCAAATAGCCCCATCCAGAAGGCAGAATAATGGTTTTAACTCGTACAATGTACGATTTTCCTATATATACTTCCGTGTACTAATTCTACTGTATATAGCCCTTTGATGCCTTTAGCAAACGCAACATCAGACGACCTTTCGAGCGCACGAAATCCAGCATACACTCAATTGACACAAGCGCATACAATCAGTCACTCGCTGAAATCAAACGACTACAGTACGTGTATATACATTATCTGTGCATATAGAATGTTTAACTGCTTCAATGGACAGAAATGAACTTACTTACTTCAAAGACCTGACCACGAAGCTCGTCGACACTTCTACCTCTCGACAGGCACCTCCCCAAGCGAGCGACGCAAAACCCCCACAACGTTGACTTCGGCCGCGCCCACAACATCGACTTCGGCCGCGCCCACAACGTTGACTTCGGCCGCACCTACAACATCGACTTCGGCCATGCCCACAACGTCAACTTCAGCCACGCCCACAACGTCGACTTCGGCGTGTGGTCCAGTTCTGCCAACAACCATGCAGGACCCTGAAACTTCGCCCACTCAATTGCCTCCGCCTACAGCCCAAGGCTCCTCGGTACCAGCATCTTCAGCGGCACCCAAACGAGAACGATTTTATCACTCCGTCCGGTTCGGCTCCTCGGTTCCATCGCCCAGCGGCGCGTCGTGTCCTGAATACCATGTAAGTTCTTTTCCTTTTCAAAGCTCTTTGCTCACTTGTTCAATCAGGAAAAAATACTGTAATTCCTCCTCCGTCTGCTCCGATTCCTGAAGCGGCTGTTCCAAGCCAAGCGAACATCTCGAAGAAACCAAATGCCAAGCCTCTTCGACCGAAGGTAGGTCTGACATCAGCTCGGTACGTCTCGACACGTTGAATATCTCCCATTATCTTATATTATGACTTTAGAAATCTTTTCGCCATCGATTATCTTACAACGCACCCCGAAACCACTGAAACCGAGTTCGCGAACGTGTGGAAGACGTGCGACGCTGATACTAAAAAGGTAAATTTCATTAATCCTTGTGACTACTATTCTAAAACATTTTCGGTTTCTAGAAATATACTGATTTGTCAAAAGACCAAACGAAGGCTAAGAAAGCCAGTACCCAGCTTGCCCTTTCGAACAGCAATTGATTCCATTTTCAGGTAAGCGCCATATTTCTTATACTCTGCCGACTTAGTGATATCTTTTTCACCGTGCGCAGCAACTGAATTATTTTCCATTACCAGCAGAACTTTCCAGTAGATTTCTGTAGAACTCGGACTACCCCAGATTGTATGTAAATTGCTACTACCAATCAATTTCTGTACAGTTCAGACCTGCAAGGATGTGTTCAGATAAGTCCCGAAAATTATTAATATTCAGTCTGGCCACCATAGAACCCTTCGAAAATCTCCAGAAATATTTCTGAATTCGTAGTCAATTTCTGGCTACGTCCGACCCGAAAAATTCTTACACATCCGGATGTTTCCAGATGAGCCCAGAGCCGGTTCTCACTGGGCCTTAACCCCCATTCTATCGTGCGGCAGCTTGGGGTTCGATTCCCCATGCCTGAATATCGAAGAGAAACTCTTTTTTCAGAGAACCACGTTGAAATTCTGGGCATCTGGCAGATCAATTGGCACTTTGCTTTGGCATGAAGGGTTCGATTCATTCTGCATGTTGAGAAATTTCGTCAATTTTCTCTTAACACCTGTCTTTTTGCTTGGCAGCTCAGGTTTTGATTCCTCCCCTGGATCCGAATTTGTACTTGACTCTACTTACTTCCTTGACGGCATTGAGTTGAAAAATCAGAAGCCTGAGGGACACCAGTGCCTGAGGTGATTTTTTTAAAATTCTTTGTCTGCAATTACAAGCGCTGAACGTTAAACAGCGATTAAGTAAGTGATGTTTTGTCAGCTCTCTAATGTTCTCGCTGTTTATCTCTCTTGAAGCGGTGCCCGACGCAACATCGAAAATGTCAAGAATAAGTAACATTTTTCCCAATGAGCGGCTTACAAGTTACTTTCATTCCAAGCGTGAGATTCCATCTTGAAGAGTATAGAGTCTCAGCTGCCAGCAGAGAATCGAGGAATCTTACCCATCAAAGCCACGGGTAGAGGAGAGAAAGAAGAACGGAAACTATGTCTTTCATAAATACAGGAGACATGCCAGCACGCGTGACAATTGACCGCGTTGCAGATTCACGTGATTCAAGGTGCCGACCTCGACTTGGCCCTCACCCACGGTTGCAACATCTTGACGCCTACATCACAGCGCCGAATCTTGATTTATCACCATCAATCTCCAGCATTGAGAGGAGTGAAAGCCTTCCTGTACACCTGCGCCATCGTTCCGTGATCTACGATGGGTGAGTACCCTTTTGCGTGGCTAGATGGTCGATAATCTGAAACCGATTTACTACTGGTCAGAGTATATCCACCTTTCGAGCATCGCGATGAATGTTACTTGCTTCAGCGATGAAGCAGACAGGAACGCGGCTTATGTCAAGATGCAAAGTGACATCGCGACTCTGAACCGTGCAATCGTAGAGATAAAAACTCGGTATAACTCTTTAAATATCACCGCCCGCTTACCAGACGAGCTCCTTGCAAAGATCTTTATCTGTAACGTGTCCTCTTCCGAATATGACCAAGTTCGCTGGATGAGGGTAGCAGGCGTTTGTACTATGTGGCGTCGTATCGCCCTTGCTTGCCCCTATCTATGGAACTGCGCATGGAACAGCGACATCGACTGGCTCAATAGAGTAATTCTTCCTCGATCCGGGCAGCTTCCACTGCATATTCGTCTGCCTCATCAACCATCGTCTGAGGGACTGGATATCATCCTTGGCGAGATCCATCGGATTCAAAAGCTCAAAATTTACCTGAATGAAGAGGCAAGAGAAACCCTATTGACAGCATTGGCAAAACCAGCCCCGATGTTAGAGTCCTTTGGTATCAAAACACACAGTGCCTTCGTTCTCCCTGACAACCTTTTTCATGACCGCTGGCCACAGTTAAGAAGGCTTCATCTTTCCCGAGTCACTATGCCCGCGGGATCACCCCTAACGTCAGGGCTAACTAAACTCGCATTGGTAAATGCGTCAGGAGGAGGTGTACCATTATCCCAGCTTATAAGTCTCCTTACAACAACTCCTCATCTTGTGACCCTCCATCTCACGTATGCATGCAGTGAAGTTGACGCTACAACAACCATCCCCGTCTACCTTCCTCGACTTCAGTATCTGAAAATCTTCGACGACACTCCCACTTGCGCCTCCATTCTTTCTGGTATTGATCGCCCTCCAACGACACGTCTCAAGATCCGTACTTTTCAAACGCGAAACATTGTGGCTGTTCATGCGCTGGCACGAGAGCTGGCAGCTCACATAAGCATTGTTGGCCTCAGCCACGACCATTGGGCTACAAAAATTTATGACAAAGTAGACTTCCAAATCGATGATCCACAGGCCGAAGTCATCGTGCGGGACGACGATTTAAAAGCCTTTATTGAAGGACTTTCTCTGCAGCATCTTCAGGTGTTGAAACTGCATGAGATAAATCTTGACTTTATTGCCTACATTGTCCGCAACTCGCCCTGCTTGAATACCATTCATGTTCGACACTTCACATACGAGTATCTTCATGCCCTGCTTGATGGTGTTTCGAAGGATGAATTGACGAACGTAATGAGACTGCATGAGGATATCCTTGATAGTAGGCTCGGCATTCAACGATTAGATGACCCTCTTGCAAAAA